AGAATCTCCATTCTCCTCTATGGAACAGCGGGTGTAAACGGACATGTGTCTGTTTACACCCTCCAACATCCAATCTGACCAGCAAAAAAAGATGTATGGGGATCCAATTATTGTTTATTTCAGGTACTTATATAGCGCCATCCATTTACGCAGGGCTTTACATATATATATTGTACATTCACATCAGTCCCTAACCCTCAAGGGGTGTACAATCTAAGGTCCCTAACTCACATTCATACATACACATACTAGGGCCAATTTAGACAGGAGCCAATTAACCTACCAGCATGTCTTTGGAGTGTGGGAGGAAACCGGAGTACCAGGAGGAAACCCACGCAGGCACAGGGAGAACATGCAAACTCCAGGAAGGTGGTGCTGTGTTGGGATTTGAACCGGCGACCCTAGTACTGCCAGGCAGAAGTGCTAACCACTTAGCCACTGTGCCGCCCGTAGCACTCCCCTGCCGTCCATCGGATCAGGTCCATTTCCAACCAAATGCCCACTGAAAAACAGCGAGCTATGCAGCAGTGAAGTTGACAAAGACCTGTCTTATGCTTGCTCAGCAGGGATCAGCGAAGAGAGATCCCCCGCTGAGAAAATGGATCCGCTAAATGGGTCCACGCTGTGTGAAAGGACCCACAATTTATATACTGATTATTTTCTTAGAGTTAAGGTTCTGACACCTCTTTTATGATTTGTGCATTAGGTAACTCAGGACCTGAGCTCTGGGGAGCAGCAACCATCTATCATAGTGACTTAACTATTTCATCACCTGTGATTTTAAGTCCAAGAATATTGAATGGGTCTGTCAGAGTAGTTTTTTTTTTTTTTTTTTTTAATGTTTTTTACATGTACAATACAGATACATATAGAGACTTTCACATAGATCTATGCACAATACAGATACACATATAGAGAGTCACACACACCTCTGACTCACAGATTTATGTACAGTACAGATCTGTACTGAGAGTCACACACTCCTGACTCAAAGATGTACAGTGCAGATACCTATAGAGAATGACATACACCCCTGGCACACACAGATCCATGTACAGTACAGATCCATAGAGAGTCACACACCCTTGACAACACAGATTCATGTACACCATCTGTTTTCAGAACTTACACGGGACCAAGGATCACCCCCTAGCCTGCATGTGAAACACATACATACAAACACACAACAACCTATCTGTAATAATACAACATACAGCACAAACACTATACTTAAAAGATGAGACAGACTGCCTGCTCCTTGCAAGGTTTGACGCTTCACCCCCTCCATACCTCCCACAAGCAGAATGCTCACTGTATACCCTATAGGAAGATGGGCCCCCATCACACACAAAAAAAAGGCAATACACTCACAGAGTCGTTTGAGTGGTTGGCGACGGGTCTCCATCTTCTGATCTGTTCTAGTAGAGAAGAAAAGATTTACAGTGCTGAAGTCCTGGACTCAGATGAAGGTATCCATACACAATGGGTGGGGCCTATGTATCATTATATATGGGATGGAAAGGTGGTGGTGGGGGGGGGGGGGGGGGGGGGTCTATGTATCATTATATAAAAGGGATGGCAGGTGGTGGTGGTAGGGGGGGGGGTGTCTATGTATCATTATATAAGGGAGATGGGACAGGTGGTGGGGTGGGGGGGGGGGGGGTGGGGGGTCTATGTATCATTATATTTGGGATGGAAAGGTGGTGGTGGGGGGGGGGGGGGTCGTCTATGTATCATTATATGGGATGGGGGGGTCTATGTACAGGGGATGGGTGGTGGTGGTGTATATGTATCATATATATGGAAAGGTGGTGGGGGGGGGAGGGGGTCTATGTACCATTATATATGGGATGGAAAGGTGGTGGGGGGGGGGGGGGGGGGGGGGGTCTATGTATCATTATATATGGGATGGACAGGTGGTGGTGGGGGGGGGGTTCTATGTATCATTATATATAGGGATGGAAGGGGTCTATGTACAGTTATATATGGGATGGAAAGGTGGGGGGGGGGGGGGGTCTATGTATCATTATATATGGGATGGAAGGGGTTCATGTACATGGGATTGAGGGGGATGGAAAGGGGGTGGTGTCTATGTACAGTTATATGGGGTGGAAAGGTGGGAGGGGCCTATCTATCAAATATAGGATGGAAAGGGGGGGGGGGGGGGGGGGTCTATGTATTATATTATATATGGGATGGAAAGGTGGAAGGGGGGGGGGGAGTCTATGTATCATTATATATGGGATGGAAGGGGGAGGAGTCTATGTAAAATTTTATAATATGTATATATATATATATATATATATATATATATATTATATATAGGATATATATATATTATAATATATATATATATATATACACACACACACATACACATACAGTGAAGGAAATGTGTATTTGCTCCCCTTCTTATGATTTTGAATGTTTGTCCCTCACAAAGAAATGATCAGTCTAAAAATCGAATGTTCGGTGTATTGTAACACTGAAAGACAGAATAGCAACAACAAATTCAGCAGAAATGAATGTCTAACAAAATATTATACACTGATTTGCAATGTTCATGTGGGAAATAAGTATTTGATCTCCTATTTTCAGCAGGATTTCTGGCTGCCAGGTGATCTTTCATACAGGTAAACAAGAGACAGATTAGAACAACAGTCTCTTAGCAGGAATGCATGTCTGCTAATCTCATTTTGTTACCTGTATAAAATGATGTGGGAGAAGCATTTGATCTCTTATATTTTTTCTTAAAGGATTTCTGGCTGCAATTGATAGCCCCTAAATGGGGGCGTGTTTATTACCAGTCTGTTTTATAAGGATGCTAAAATTCATTTTTATTAAAACCATTGAAATATAAAAGACATCTATCCACAGGAGCAATCAAACAATCAGATTCCAAACTCTCCACCATGGCAAAGACCAAAGAGCTGTCCAAGGATGTCAGGGACAAGATTGTAGACCTACACAAGGCTGGACTGGGCTACCAAACTATCGCCAAGCAGCTTGGTGAGAAGGTGACAAGTTGGTGCAATCATTCGCAAATGGAAGAAACACAAAACAACTGTCAGTCTCCCTAGGTCTGGTGCGCCATGCAAGATCTCACCTCATGGAGTGTCAATGATCATGAGAACAGTGAGAAATCATCCCAGAACTACACGTGAGGATCTTGTCAATGATCTCCAGTCAGCTGGGACCACAGTCACCAAGACAACAATTGGTAACACACTACGCCGACAAGGACTGAAATCCTGCAGTGCCCGCAAGGTCCCTCTGCTCAAGAAAGCACATGTCCAGGCCCATCTGAAGTTTGCCACTGAACATCTGAATGATGCAGAGGAGGACTGGTTGAATGTGTTGTGGTCAGATGAGACCAAAATCCAGCGCTTTGGCATCAACTCAACTCGCCGTGTTTGGAGGAGGAGGAATGCTGCCTATGACCCCAAGAACACCATCCCAACTGTGAAACATGGTGGTGGAAACATTCTGCTTTGGGGGTGTTTTTCTGCTAAGGGGACGGGACAACTGCACCGCATCAAAGGGACGATGGACGGGGCAATGTACTGTCAAATCTTGGGTGAGAACCTTCTTCCCTCAGCCAGGGCACTGAAAATGGGTTGTGGATGGGTGTTCCAGGATGACAATGACCCAAAACACACGGCCAAGGCAACAAAGGAGTGGCTCAAGAAGAAGCACATTAAGGTCCCGGAGTGGCCTAGCCAATCTCCAGACCTTAATCCGATTGAAAATCCGTGGAGGGAGCTGAAAGTTTCGAGTTGCCAAACCTCTAATGACTTGGAGAGGATCTGCCAAGAAGAGTGGGCCAAAATCCCTCCTGAGATGTGTGCAAACCTGGGGGCCAACTACAGGAAACGTCTGACCTCTGTGATTGCCAACAAGGGATTTGCCACCAAGTACTAAGTCATGTTTTGTGAAGGGGATCAAATACTTATTTCCCTCATGAAAATGCAGATCAGTCATTTGTTAGACGCATTTCTGCTGAATTTGTTGTTGCTATTCTGTCTCTCGGTGTTACACCGAACATTCCATGATTTGTAGACCGATCATTTCATTGTGAGTCGGCAAAACATTCATCATCAGCCGGGGAACAAATACTTACTTCCTTCCTTCACTGTACATGACGGTAAGGGGGAGATATCTATATAGATGTGTTATTATTCAGGATGTATATAGATCCAACAGTTTGCACAGCACTTTACAATATAAAGGGAGACCATGCAGTTACAATACAGAGAGGGTTGGAGAGCCCTGGTCCTGGGAGCTTACAATCTAATAGGGAGGGGCAAGTAATACAAGAGGTGATAAAGTTCGGTTGTTAGGTGGGATAGGCTACTCTGAAGAGATGAGTTTTCAGGGATCACCTGAAGGCAGACAGAATAGAAGATAGTCGGACAGATTGGGGTAGGGAGTTCCAGGGGATTGGGAGAGGCTCTGGAATAGTGCTGGAGATATGGCAGCAGGAGGTGTTGGGTCTATATAAATATTTATGGTGATGGCAGGGGGAATCTCCGTGTCTATGGACAGGCCGGGCTCCTCTCTCACCTGTCCTGTCACAGCCGCCGGTTTCCTCTCCTCAGTTGAATCTCGGCGCCTAATTCGGGAATGCGGTCACTAGAGGAACACATAAGACATTTTCCCGGAGCTCCACCTCCTATAGAGCGCTGTACTCACTTCCCGAGAGAAGAACAGCTGAGCCTCTAGTGTCTGAACAGACCGGCGGGGATTGGCTGGTAAGCTGCAGAGGGCGGGATTACTGTGTCAATTGATTTCCTGTTGCTGAGCCTGTCAAGAGAGAGGGAACGGCCAATTAGAGTTTAGCGATCACGTAAAAGACTAAGCAAGTTCCGCCCATAGGACGGCTGGACTACCTGACTACACTGCTCTATTGTATGTAACCCCGCCCCCTCTGACTGACATGCCACTTCTTGGGTGACCACCTTCCTTCTCTAGGCTTCTGCTTCATTTTACAGAGTGACCACCAGGGGCGAACTGACCATTTGGAAATTCGGGCACTGCCCGAGGGCCGGGGTCAGTAGGGGGCCCCATGAGATGCCCCTGGTACCTTTTTCATAGGCTTTTTTGAGTTTGGGCAAGGACATAGGGGCGCCATGATCTCCTATTGCCCGGGGTCCCCATGAGTTGTCAGTCCGCCCCTGGTGACCACCTTCCTTCTGTATGCTCCTACTTCATTTTACAGAGTGACCACCTTCCTTCTCCATGCTTCTACTTCATTTTACAGAGTGACCACCTTCCTTCTCCATGCTTCTACTTCATTTTACAGGGTGACCACCAGGGGCGGACTGACCATTTGGAAACTCAGGTACTGCCGAGGGCCCGGGGTCAGTAGGGGCCCCATGAGATGCCCCTGGTACCTTTTTCATAGGCTTTTTTGAGTTTGGGCAAGGACACATAGGGGCGCCATGATCCCCTATTGCCCGGGGGCCCATGAGTTGTCAGTCCGCCCCTGGTGACCACCTTATTTCTGTATGCTCCTACTTCATTTTACAGAGTGACCACCTTCCTTCTCCATGCTTCTTCATTTTACAGAGTGACCACCTTCCTTCTCCATGCTTCTTCATTTTACAGAGTGACCACCTTTCTCCTCCATGCTTCTTCATTTTACAGAGTGACCACCTTCCTTCTCCATGCTCTACTTCATTTTACAGAGTGACCACCTTCCTTCTCCATGCTTCTACTTCATTTTACAGGGTGACCACCAGGGGCGGACTGACCATTTGGAAACTCGGTCACTGCCTGATTGCCCAGGGTCAGTAGGGGGCCCCATGAGATGCTCCTGGTACCTTTTTCATAGGCTTTTTTGAGTTTGGGCAAGGACATAGGGGCCCCATGATCCCCTATTGCCTGGGGGCCCATTAGTTGTTAGTCCACCCCTGGTGACCACCTTCCTTCTGCATGCTCCTACTTCATTTTACAGAGTGACCACCTTCCTTCTCCATGCTCCTACTTCATTTTACAGAGTGACCACCTTCCTTCTCCATGCTTCTGCTTCATTTTACAGAGTGACCACCTTCCTTCTCCATGCTTCTTCATTTCACAAAGTGACCACCTTCCTTCTCCATGCTCCTACTTCATTTTACAGAGTGACTGTCTTCCTTCTACATGCTTCTACTTCATTTTACAGAGTGACCACCTTCCTTCTCCATGCTTCTTCATTTTACAGAGTGACTACCTTCCTTCTACATGCTTCTACTTCATTTTACAGGGTGACCACCTTCCTTCTTCATGCTTCTACTTCATTTTACAGGGTGACCACCAGGGGCGGACTGACCATTTGGAAACTCGGGCACTGCCCGAGGGCCCAGGGTCAGTAGGGAGCCCCATGAGATGCCCCTGGTACCTTTTTCATAGGCTTTTTTGAGTTTGGGCAAGGACATAGGGGCCCCATGATCCCCTATTGCCTGGGGGCCCATGAGTTGTCAGTCCGCCCCTTGTGACCACCTTCCTTCTGTATGCTCCTACTTCATTTTACAGAGTGACCACCTTCCTTCTCCATGCTTCTACTTTATTTTACAGAGTGACCACCTTTGTTCTCATTGGTCTCACTGTGTGTAGGGAAGTAACCCGACCTCCTCCCAACTATGGGATGTGCAATGTGCAGAGCAGTGTACATGACCACAACTAAGGTAAAGGAGAAGAAGTGAGGAGGAAATGGAGAGGTTCAGGAGCTCACAGAGGATATTTACTAGGTGGCAGAAAAAACACAGAATCAATTTAATAGACTACAGGACATTCAGGAGGATGTGTTGTGGATTAGTATGGAGGTTGTGTAGTGTCACTGAACGTCTCCCACTGCAGATCTCTACTCCACCGCCAGATGTGCAGCCAGATGACAGCGGGAGGACTCTGGAGGAGAAGTCATGGGGAGTACTTTGGAGGAGAAGTCAGCGGGAGGATTCTGGAGGAGAAGTCAGGGGGAGGGACTCCGTAGGAGAAGTCAGGGGGAGGTCTCTGGAGCAGAGGTCAGGAGGAGAACTCTGGAGGAGAAGTCATGGGGAGGACTCTGGAGGAGAAGTCATGGGGAGGACTCTGGAGGAGAAGTCATGGGGAGGGGACTCGAGAGGAGAAGTCATGGGGAGGACTCGAGAGGAGAAGTCAGGGGGAGGAGAGGTCAGGGAGAGGACTCATGAGAGAGAGTCAGGGGGAGAGACTCTGGAGGAGAAGTCATGGGGAGGACTCTGGAGGAGAAGTCATGGGGAGGACTCCGGAGGAGAAGTCGGGGAGGACTGGAGGAGAAGTCATGGGAAGTACTCTGGAGGAGAAGTCAGCGGGAGGACTCAGGAGAAGTCGGGGAGAACTCAGGAGGAGAAGACAGGGAGGACTCAGGAGGAGAAGTCAGCGGGAGGACTCAGGAGGAGACATCAGGGAGAGGACTCAGGAGGAGACGTCAGGGGGAGGACTCAGGAGGAGACGTCAGGGGGAGGACTTGGAGGAGAAGCCAATGTGAGGACTCCGAGGAAAAGTCTGGAGGGTAAGTCAGCGGGAGGACTTGGGGAAGAACTCTGGAGGATAAGTCAGCAGGAGTAATCTGGGAGGAACTCAAGAGGAGAAGTCTGGGGGGAGGTACTATGAGGGGGGAGAAATCAGGGGAAGGACTAAGGAGAATAAGTCAGTGGGAGGACTCAAGGATAAATTCAGGAGGAGAAGTCAGGGGGAGAAATCAGCAAGAGGACTCAGGAGGAAAAGTCAGTCGGAGGACTTGGGGAAGAATTCAGGCGGGGAAGTCAAGGGGAGGACTTGGGGTAGAACTCTGGAGGGGAAGTCAGGGGAATGACTCGGGATGAAATGTCTGGGGGAGGACTCAGGAGGGGAAGTCAGGGGAAGGATTCAGGAGGGGAAGTCAGGGGAAGGATTCAGGAAGAGATGTCAGAGGGAGGACTCTGGAGGGGAAGTCAGTTGGAGAACTCTGGAGGGAAAGTCAGGTGGAGGACTTTGATAAGAGCTCTGGAGGAGAAGTCAGCAGAAGGACTTGGGGAGGATTCAGGAGGAGGACTCAGGGAAGAAGTTTGGATGGGAAGCCAGCGTGAGAACTTAGAGAAAATCTTTGGAGGGGAAGTCAGTGGGAGGACTTGGGGCAGACCTCTGGAGGGGAAAAGTCTTGAGGAGGACTCAGGAGAAGTCAGCGGGAGAACTCGGGGAAGAACTCGGGATGTCAGGAGTAGTGGGGGGGGGGGGGGACTTGGGGAAGAACTCTGATCTCAGGAGGAGAAGTCAACGGGAGGACTTAGGAGATGAAGTTGGGGGGTGGATTCAGAAGGAGAAGTCAAGGAGGTGAATTCAGGTCAGGGAGAGGTCTCTTGGGGAGAAGTCAGGGGGAGGAGAAGTCTCAATATTATCCTGTTATATTAAATCCTGTAAAAGCCCCCCACGATAGAAGATTCTTCATATTTACCCCTCCAGAAGGTGACATTTCCTCACATCCCTCCTTGCAGAATGCTCACATCCAACATTTCCAGGGGTGTGTCACATCTGTATCACTGTGACTCCTCCCACAAGTTGTGCCATCACTACCAGAGAAAGATGTGGCATAGGGGCCAGAGGACAAAAGAGCAGAATGGGGGAACCCGGAATTGTCTGACATGAAGCTTCTCCCAGAGGGCTCACTTCCAGAGAGGCATCTTTAAGGAATCTTTAATTATACAATGTGTCTATCCATTGGGTCGTTATGGGGGTTAACTCTTTCACTGCCATAGCCATGTTTATGTTTGCTTGCATATGTTAAAATATATATTTTAGGCCTGAAGATTAGTTAAAACCCCTCCCTCATAACTTCCAGTCCTTAGATGTGTCCGCACCCCTCCCCCCCCCCTGTCCTGTCTGTAGATGAATACTTCTGTTTCAGATAGATTTTTATGCACCCCCCCCTCCATACCTTTCAGTACTAAGGTTGGAGTATGCACCCCCTTTCACCCATACCTTCTAGTCCATGAATGTGTATTCACCCCTTCCTCCCCATAACTTCAGTCCTTATATCTGTATGCAGCCCCCTCCCCCATACGTTCCAGTCCTTAGATGTGTAAGCACCCCTTCCCCATTCCTTTCAGTCCTTAGATTTCAATTCACCCTTCTCCCCCATAAGTTTTAGTCCATAGATGTGTATGCACCTCTCCCTCTCTCCATCACTCAGTCCTTAGATCTATATGCAGTCTCACCCATACCTTCCAGTCCTTAACTGTTTATGCACCTCTCCCAATACCTTTAGTCCCTAGGTCTGTATGCAGCTCCTCCTCCCCCATATCTTCCAGTCTTTAGATGTGTATGCACTCCTACCCTGTTCCTTTCAGTCTATAGATTGCTATGCACCCCCTCTCCTCCCATACCTTCCAGTCCTTAGTTCAGCACGCACCCCCTAACCCCATACTTTTCAGTCCTCAGATTTCTTTGCAACCCTCATCCCATACCTTCCAGTCCATAGATGTGTACATACCTCACCCTCTCCCCATATCTTTCAGTCCTTGGATCTACAGTTGTGGCCAAATTTATTCAACCCCCCCCTGAAATTGAGTGTTTTGGCCAGTTTGACATTGCTTTTGATCATTTCAGTCATCTACATGTGTTTACATTTACATTAAGAGGCACTTGTAGGTCAGACAAACCTTTCAGTCCTTAAAGTTATATATGAAATAACCACAAATGTCTTTTCTGTGCTCACAGCATTATCAGTTTTATTCAACCCCAAGTGACTTAAACGTAACACAACAGTATAGATGCTTATAAACGTCAGCATGTGAATTTTACGAGGAAATAGATACAAGACTGTTTAGTGGTAAATGAAGCATTGTATTGGTGCTGGGTAGTTGGCTGCAGCACTGCAACTGCTTTCTTTTAAGTCCCAAACGAGCATACAGAAGATAGGTTCAGACACGGGTTCTTTCACTAAAACTGGTGCACTCAGAATCAGGTGCAGCTGTGCATGGTTGAGCCAAACAGCTTCTACCTTCAGCTTGTTCAATTATGTTTTGGCATCCATAAATCCTGGATGCTGATTGCTTTCTCATGCAGAACTGCACCAGATTTCCACTCTCCAGTTTTAGTAAATAACCCCCAGCAGTCCTGCTAGCAGAATAATCACTATGCTCAAGGTAAGGTAGAGAGTTCTGCACCACTAGGGAATCAACACATCCTCAGCCTAGAGTGCGCTCTAGAAGTGGCAGTCTTCAGCACTAACTCTTAAACTGGCTAGTATTGGGGCCCAGTTGTACACGTTGGTGCACATGAGAATAGTCCCAATACATCTGCAGGCAGCAATAAGGCTACTACATGGCAGTATGGTCGTTCCTAAAGGGCTCAGTCTCTCTAGCTGCAGATAGTAAATCCCCACAGCAGCAGCTCACCAATCCCAGCGATGCTTCAGCTCACCATCTGGTCACATACAGATATTAGTTAACTCTGTGCTCTGCACCCAGGTCACTCTGACTGTCAGAACATCTGGACTCAGCACTCCAGATACTGCTTAGGCCAACTTTATACAGCAGTGGTGGTGCACAATGGACAGTAATATACACTCTCTGGTCTCCCTCATGGCAAGCGGAAGCTGTGTCCCTTACAGCTTGAAAAAATGCAGGTCTTTCCCCTCCTCCATGTAGCTTCCCTCTGGGAAATGCAGTTTAGAAGCTTTTGGATACAGTAGAGCAGCCTTTCTCAACCAGGGTGCCCAGGCACTCTGGGGTGTCTTGAGAATTCTTCAGGGGTGCCTTGGCAAAATGTCTAAAAATGGCCCAAAACTTGTATACCAGCCAGCGGGTAGAACAAGCCTGCCTTTTAGTTACACAACGCCACAGGTTTTCATTGTACACCATTACGACCTTGTAGCCGCCAGCATCCTGACAACCAATGACATCATTAGTTGATAAGGAGGATGTCAGCTGCCTGCACAGCATCCTAGTTTGACCCTCCCCTGCCCCTCTCTGTCAGTCCTGGGGTCACATTAGCTCAGTGATGGATAAAAACTGAAGAAGAGAAACACTGTCATACTAGTCAGTACCAGTGTGCAAAAATGTATTTGCTTTGGAAGAATAAATCACCTCTAATGTTGGGTATCCTTCATGTGTGGATGTTGCTGCATATATAAAACTATTAGAATACTTTCTCACATTTTAGAATGGGGTGTCCTTTTAAAATTATGGACAGTCCTGAGGCACTCCATTTTAGAATGGGGTGCCTCAAGACTGTCCATAATTTTAAAGGGTGCCTCGGGGCTGTCCATCATTTTAAAATGTCCTTGGACTGATAAAAGGTTGAGAAACACTGCAGTAGAGTCTCTCTCCTGTGAACTACAGTTCCTGCAGTGCAGTGCTGCCTGACAATCTATTGAATTATCCTGCTCAGCAATAAAACAATTGACTGCAGCAGCTCACTCTTATGCTGATATACAGTCATGGCCGAAACCACTTGGAACCCTTGATATTTCTCCAGGAAATCATGTATTTCTCACGAAACGTATTGCATTAACACATGTTTTGCTATACACATGTTTATTCCCTTTGTGTGTATTGGGACAAAACAAAAAAAAGGGAGGAAAGAAAGCAAATTCGACACATAATGTCACACAAACCTCCAAAAATGGGCTGGACAAAAGTATTGGCACCCTTTCACAACTGCGGATAAATAAGAATGTTACAAGCATGTGATGCTCCTGTAAACTCACCTGGGGCAAGTAACAGGTGTGGGCAATATAGAAATCACACCTGAAAGCAGATAAAAAAAGGAGAGACGTTCACTTAACCTTTGCATTGTGTGTCTGTCTGTGCCACACTAAGCATGGACAACAGAAAGAGGAGACGAGAACTGTCTGAGGACCTGAGAACCAAAATTGTGGCAAAATATCAACAATCTCAAGGTTACAAGTCCATCTCCAGAGAACTAGATTTGCCTTTGTCCACAGTGCGCAACATTATCAAGAAGTTTGCAACCCATGGCACTGTAGCTAATCTCCCTGGTCGTGGACGGATGAGGAAAATTGATGAAAGATTGCAACGCAGAATAGTCCGGATGGTGGATAAGCAGCCCCAAACATGTTCCAAAGACATTCAAGCTGTCCTGCAGGCTCAGGGAGCATCAGTGTCAGCGCGAACTATCCGTCGACATTTAAATGAAATGAAACGCTATGGCAGGAGACCCAGGAGGACCCCACTGCTGACACAGAGACATAAAAAAGCAAGACTACAGTTTGCCAAAATGTACTTGAGTAAGCCAAAAGCCTTCTGGGAAAACGTCTTGTGGACAGATGAGACCAAGATAGAGCTTTTCGGTAAAGCACATCATTCTACTGTTTACCGAAAACGGAATGAGGCCTACAAAGAACAAAACACAGTACCTACGGTAAAATATGGTGGAGGTTCAATGATGTTTTGGGGTTGTTTTGCTGCCTCTGGCACTGGGTGCCTTGACTGTGTGCAAGGCATCATGAAATCTGAGGATTACCAAAGGATTTTGGGTCGCACTGTAGGGCCCAGTGTCAGAAAGCTGGGTTTGCGTCCAAGATCCTGGGTCTTCCAGCAGGACAATGACCCCAAACATACGTCAAAAAGCACTCAGAAAATGGATGGCAAAGAAGCGCTGGAGAGTTCTGAAGTGGCCAGCAATGAGCCCAGATCTAAATCCCATTGAACACCTGTGGAGAGATCTTAAAATTGCTGTTGGGAAAAGGTGTCCTTCCAATAAGAGAGACCTGGAGCTGTTTGCAAAGGAAGAGTGGTCCAAAATTCCGGTGTGAGAGGTGTCAGAAGCTTATTGATGGTTATAGGAAGCGACTGATTTCAGTTATGTTTTCCAAAGGGTGTGCAACCAAATATTAAGTTAAGGGTGCCAATACTTTTGTCCAGCCCATTTTTGGGGTTTTGTGTGACATTATGTCATATTTGCTTTTCTGCCTCTGTTTTATATTTGTTCCAATACATACAAAGGGAATAAACATGTGTATAGCAAAACTCATGCAATACCTTTTTTGTGTGAAATACTGATTTCAGGAAAAATATCAAGGGTCACAATTTCGGCCATGATGTATGTTAACCAGTTCAGCACCGCAGGGCAGCAGCTACAGAGAGCATCTGCAGCCAGTGTCTCTCTCACTCTCCATTCTTAGCTAAGCACCTGGCTACATGTATGCAGCCCTCCCCTCATACCTTTCAGTCTGCTCTTCCCCTCAGCACTGTGCTTCCTGTTTTCTCCCCTGTTCAGCACTGTGCTTCCTGTTTGCTCCCCTGCTCAGCACTGTGCTTCCTGTTTTCTCCCCTGCTCAGCACTGTGCTTCTTGTCTGCTCCCCTGCTCAGCACTACTGTGCTTCCTGTCTGCTCTAATGCTCCGCACTGTGCTTCCTGTCTGCTCACCCATTCACCATGTGCTTCCTGTCTGCTCCCCTGCTCAGCACTGTGCTTCCTGTCTGCTCCCCTGCTCAGCACTGTGCTTCCTGTCTGCCCCCCTGCTCAGCACTGTGCTTCCCGTCTGCTCCCCTGCTCAGCACCGTGCTTCCTGTCCGTGCTTCCCCTGCTCAGCACCGTGCTTCCTGTCTGCTCCCCTGCTCAGCACTGTGCTTCCTGTCTGCTCCCCTGCTCAGCACTACTATGCTTCCTGTCTGCTCCAATGCTCAGCACTGTGTTTCCTGTCTGCTCACCCATTCACCATGTGCTTCCTGTCTGCTCACCCATTCACCACTGTGCTTCCTGTCTGCTACCCTGCTCAACACTGTCCTTCCTGTCTGCTCACCCTCACCTGCTCAGCATTGTGATTCCTGTCTGGTCCCTGCTGGGAGATGAAACCACAATGCTGAGCGGGAACCAGACTCCTGGAAATTTATTGGAACCTTCTTCAGGATATGGATCTCTTCTAACAGCGAAGATTGGTGGTGATCTGCATTAAATTTATCTTTACAATTTATCTTTTTTTCATGTTTTTAATCTAGTGACAGTGAACCGTTGTAGAGAAAACCTGCTGCATTTGGCTTCTGACAGGTTCACTTTAATAAGAGAATTTGTATGTTTTAGTCCTACTCAGCCTAAACAATCTTATCTGCATTTAAGAATAGAATGTGATGCCATCTGAGATTGTATGATAACTGCCATAAAGAGAAGAAAACTCACACATTTACCAGCACAGACACACACATTCACACCTGCATACTGTCATCTATGTTCTATAGGAAGGACCACTGTGCTATTCAGATGAGAAACTTGGGAGTTTAGTAGTCATTTCCCAGCAAGATCTCATTAATAACATCCAATGTTCTGTTGCTGAAGACCATGCTGAGATGATCCATTCCATGTAGCTCAATAACATGAACTCTCTCCTTCTGTTGGGTCTTCCAGAGTTTACAGAGTTCCAGGCTTCTCTTGTGCACAGTGTCATCCCCATCTGTATATTGGATATCTATAGGTGGCTCGTTGGGAAAACCATCCGCGTAGATGTAGGTCTCTGCTGTAGGGTGGCCTGTTCCATATATGCAGTATGTCTCCACACCTGGCGGTGGCAGACCATCCAGAAGGCCCTTCGTATCTTCCCACATGTGCCAACCATCCTCAAAGTCAATGTCCTTAAATAACCTCTTGTAGTCCCTGTATGTATAGTTATAGGATGGGGTGGAAATGAAGACATGTGATTCGGGCCAGGCCAGGTTGGTGGGCAACATCCAGGGATTTGTGGTCGTCATTCGTTGTTCTTCTCGAATTTTAATGTTGGAAACCATTGGAATCCCATGATTGTCTCCTGCGAGTACAGGGTAAAAAAGTGAATGTCCATGCAGAAAACATAGACAGTAAGTCTGTAACATGGGAATAAACCAGGGTACAATAGAAAAGTCCCAAAACTCCAACTTTGTAATGTATGTACACTCATCGTATTGCAGCAAGAAGACAACACAGGCTTCTGTTTATTGTTACCTGCAGCATCAGTCAGACACCTTCATCATATATAAACAGTTCTAAAACAGTTCTAAATCAGTCATGGAATAGCTAGAATGATTACTTATTGTGGGTGTGTGGGAGAAAATATCATAAGCAGTAAAGATTTCTGCTGCTAAACTCTTGAGATGGGATTTAAAAGATGCTTGCCCTCCAACAACAATGCAATGAAAATGGGAACACTAAGGGGGTCAGTTACACTGAGTACTTGGTGATGCTTGGATCATACCATTATTACTGATTACTATTTTGTGCAGGAAAGAGTTAAGCCCTGTACACACGGGCCGAATATCAGCCAGTATCAGCCGGTTCAATAGAAACCAGCGACATTCGGCCCATGTGTACACCCGTCTGTCCTACAGAACAAAATCAGCATCCAATCAGCATCTGATCAGTGCTGGTGTTTTCTGGCGGGGGAAGGCAGTCCCCCTATCAGAACACAATAGCTCAACATGGAAATCGCTGTGCTAACATCGGATAGTCAGTACAGTGAGCTCTTGTTGTTTTTTTTTCAGTGTTCAGCAGTGGTTTTTTTTTCAGCCGCTGGGTTGAGCGAAAAAAAAAAAAACTGAAGGCGTGTATCAAGCATTACGGAGAACTGTAGTGTGACCATCTCCATCTGGGAGATACAATGTACAGTGCAGGGGCGGACTGACCATTTGGAAACTCGGGCACTGCCCGAGGGCCCGGGGTCAGTAGGGGGCCCCATGAGATGCCCCTGGTACCTTTTTTATAGGCATTTTTGAGTTTGGACAAGGACACAGGGGCCCCATGATCCCCTATTGCCCGGGGGCCGCATGAGTTGTCAGTCCGCACCTGGTACAGTGCCCTCAGAATGGCTGCTGTCATAAATGACTTGTAGTGTGACCATCTCCATCTTGTAGATTCAATGCGCTGTACCCTTAGAATGGGTGCTATTATAAATTACTGCAGTGTGACCATCTCCAGCTGGCAGAAACAACATGTTGTACCCTCAGAAGGGGGGCTGTAATAAATGGCTCACATGGTGTCCATCTCCATGTGGGAGATATGCTGTACCCTTAGAATGGGTTCTCTCATAAATGACCAGTAGTGTGACCATCTCCAACAGGGAGATACAATGTGCTGTACCCTCAGAATGGGTGCTGTCATAAACAATCTGTCTTTGTCTAGGACAGTGGTTCTCATTTCTAATGCCGCGACCCCTTAATACAGTTCCTCATGTTGTGGTGACCCCCAACCATAAAATTATTTTCGTTGCCATCATAACTGTAATTTTGCAGTGGGAGGAATAGTGCCTCATCATTGGTGTCCAGTGGGAGGAATAGTGCCCCATCATTGGTATCAGTGGGAGGAATAGTGCCACATCATTGGTGTCAGTGGGAGGAATAGTGTCCCATCATGATATCAGTGGGAGGAATAGTGCCCCATCACTGATGTCAATGGGAGGAATAGTGCCCCATCATTGGTATCAGTGGTAGGAATAGTGCCCCCATCATTGGTGTCAGTGGTAGGAATAGTGCCCCATCATTGGTGTCAGTGGTAGGAATAGTGCCCCATCATTGGTGTCAGTGGGAGGAATAGTGCCCCATCATTGGTGTCAGTGGGAGGAATAGTGCCCCATCGTTGGTGTCAGTGGGGGGAGGAATAGTGCCCCATCGTTGGTGTCAATGGGAGGAATAGTGCCCCATCATAGGTGTCAGTGGGGGGAATAGTGCCCCATCATTGGTGTCAGTGGGGGGAATAGTGCCCCATCATTGTGTCAGTGGGGGGAATAGTGCCCCATCATTGGTGTCAGTGGGGGGAATAGTGCCCCATCACTGGTGTCAGTGGGAGGAATAGTGCCCCATCACTGGTGTCAGTGGGAGGAATAGTGCCCCATCACTGGTGTCAGTGGGAGGAATAGTGCCCCATCACTGGTGTCAGTGGGAGGAATAGTGCCCCATCACTGGTGTCAGTGGGAGGAAAAGTGTCCCCATCACTGGTGTCAGTGGGAGGAATAGTGCCCCATCACTGGTGTCAGTGGGAGGAATAGTGCCCCATCACTGGTGTCAGTGGGAGGAATAGTGCCCCATCACTGGTGTCAGTGGGAGGAATACTGCCCCATCCTGGTGTCAGTGGGAGGAATAGTGCCCCATCATTGGTGTCAGTGGGGGGAATACGGCCCCATTATTGGTGTCAGTGGGAGGAATAGTGCCCCATCATTGGTGTCAGTGGGAGGAATAGTGCCCCATCATTGGTATCAGTGGGAGGAATAGTGCCCCCATCATTGGTGTCAGTGGGAGGAATAGTGCCCCATCGTTGGCATCAGGGGGAGCAATAGTGCCCAACATTGGTGTCAGTGGGAGGAATAGTGCCCCATCGTTGATATCAGAGGGAAGTATAGTGCCCCATCGTTGGTGTCAGTGGGAGGAATAGTGCCCCATCGTTGGTGTCAGTGGGAGGAATAGTGCCCCATCGTTGGTGTCAGTGGGAGGAATAGTGCCCCATCGTTGGTGTCAGTGGGAGGAATAGTGCCCATCGTTGGTGTCAGTGGGAGGAATAGTGCCCCATCGTTGGTGTCAGTGGGAGGAATAGTGCCCCATCGTTGGTGTCAGTGGGAGGAATAGTGCCCCATCGTTGGTGTCAGTGGGAGGAATAGTGCCCCATCGTTGGTGTCAGTGGGGGGAGGAATAGTGCCCCATCGTTGGTGTCAGTGGGGGGAGGAATAGTGCCCCATCGTTGGTGTCAGTGGGGGGAGGAATAGTGCCCCATCGTTGGTGTCAATGGGAGGAATAGTGCCCCATCGTTGGTGTCAGTGGGGGGAATAGTGCCCCATCGTTGGTGTCAGTGGGGGGAATAGTGCCCCAGCATTGGTGTCAGTGGGCGGAATAGTGCCCCATCATTGGTGTCAGTGGGAGGAATAGTGCCCCATCACTGGTGTCAGTGGGAGGAATAGTGTCCCATCACTGGTGTCACTGGGAGGAAAAGTGCCCCATCATTGGTGTCAGTGGGAGGAATAGTGCCCCATCACTGGTGTCAGTGGGAGGAATAGTGCCCCATCATTGGTGTCAGTGGGGGGAATACGGCCCCATTATTGGTGTCAGTGGGAGGAATAGTGCCCCATCATTGGTGTCAGTGGGAGGAATAGTGCCCCCATCGTTGGTGTCAGTGGGAGGAATAGTGCCCCATCGTTGGTGTCAGTGGGAGGAATAGTGCCCCATCGTTGGTGTCAGTGGGGGGAGGAATAGTGCCCCATCATTGGTAATAGTGACACCAATGATTGGGCACTATTCCTCCACTGACACCAATGATACTTACCTTGCTGACCCCTGCTCCAGCCTGGGCTCGCTCGCTCCCTCCCTCTCCCAAGGTACAAACACTTACCGGTCAGATGGCTTCCTTCTCCGGCCGGCAGCTTTCCTCCTCTTCACTCGCTCGTGCTTCGCGGTGCCGCTCGGCTCCTCCTTTCCAAGCTCCACCTCCTCGCCGGTGATTGGCCGCCTGTGTGCCTCTCTTGAGCTACAGTTCCGGCGGCCAATCACCGACGAGGAAGGATTGATCCCGGGGGTGTGTCCAGATGACAGGGACGGCATGTCATCCCGCCCACACCTGCAGACGGATCAAGGAGCGGTGTCTCGGTTCCTAAGGCCATCGGAAATATGTGTTTTCCGATGGTCTTAGGCGACCCCTGGGAAAGTGTCGTTCGACCCCCAAAGGGGTCGCGACCCCCAGGTTGAGAACCGCTGGTCTAGGAGATACAATGTACTGTACAGCAGGTTTATTTTGTACAAGCTCACATGGATCCCATGGTGTGCAGGCATTGTCCTGATGGCACTTACCTGACATGAGTACCAGCAATGGCTTTACTGCTCCCCCCCACGGTGCTCCAAGTGAGATGAATCCTTTAATATATTTATTTTTCCAGTCTGAAGGCTGATGATTTAAGAAGTACAGAATATACAGGTTGCCAAGGCTGTGTCCAGTGAGAATAACTGGTTTCTCATATTCTCTGTACATGTCTTCTATGAGCTTCTGCAGTCTTTCAAAGTATTCTTTCTGTCCATCTGAAATAGATATAGGAACTTAATTGTAAACGTATTCAGTATTATAAAGTGGTTGGTATGTGATGGTTGTGAATAAAAGGTTCAGATAATTAAACATTCTTTGATTGTGAAGGGACAGTGGCTTGTATTCTCATTATTTCATCAATCATGCATAGTAATAGAACAGGTATTTAACACTGGAAAACATACACCATCTGTCTAACCAAGAGACTGTATTCCCTAAGTATTCTGTTGATAATTATAGCAGGTGGTGTTAGGGTTGGGTCACTAAATCATCCATTCCAGATCTTCTCAAAATTCCTGAGAGCTACCTCTATGGTCATAGGTTAAACTTTCCAAATGTAAGGAAATGTCAATCCAACAGTATATTGTGGGGGGGTTGGGGAGATAGCTGATGTTCTACTTGGCCACTCAAATTACTGGAAATGTTTACTGTTGCCCCTGGGACTATTGGGGACTGTCATTGTGGCCCTTAGGACCACTGGAGATTGCCACTGCTCTTGAGATTATTGGAGACTGCAAATGTGGACCCTGGGATTATTAAAGATATTGAATGTTGCACCCGGTAATATTGGAGAAGGCACTTGCGGTCCTTAAGATTATTGGAGACTGCAAATGGGGCCCCTGGGAATATTACAGACATTAATTGTGGTCCATTGGATTTTTAGCGACATTGAATGTTGCCTTAGGGAGTTTTGAGGACAGTACCTGTGATCCCTGGAAATACTGGAGTTAGAAAATGTGACACCTTGGATTATTAAAGATTGTAGCTCATCGGATTATTAGAGACTAGAATGGTGGCCCTGGGATTACTGGAGATTGGGATGACCGGAAACAGGAAGGTTTAGACACTGGAGATGTCTGTCAAGGTTCCCATTTATCCATGTCATTTTATTGTTTTAGTTAGTCGCATTATATGCTACAGCAGCTGAAGAAGCTTCTTAGGTGAGTGGTGAAAGGTCCTTCAACAATGCAAAACCAACCCAGGTGAACATGACTAACAACTACCAGCTAAACCAGGGGTGTCCAACCTGTGGCCCACAGGCTGCATGTGGCCCAAAATGGCTATAAATGCGGCCCAACACATAATCGTAAACTTATCTAAAAATGTTGGGGGTTTTTTTCCCCAAAAATACACTTGTGAACACATGTGGTCAAAGGAAAATTTGACAGTGTCTCTTTACTAGACTCTTATAAGTTTTATCTTTCCAAAGAAAAATATTCCACTATTAACAATCACACCTTATTCCTGTCATCAATTTTGGGTGGACCTATTTTTGTGAACAATTATTTTCAAGGATGAAGAACATAAAGGGCAAAATTAGAACCAAAATATCTAATGAGCACCTTGAGAATTCATTGAGAATTGGGGATACATCCATCGAACCAGATATTGATGTGTTAGTTTATCAAAAACATTGTCAAATATTGCACTAATAAAAAAAATTACAAAAAATTTCAGTTTTTTACTCAAATAGGTACATTAACTATTTCAGTGATCGTGATCTGCCCGATTTTTTCTGCTCATCAACTATCCTTATTGCGAGTGTATTTTATGTGTGGACACTTCAAGACACTTTCTTTTCTTCCAATGTGGCCCAGGAAGGTCAAAGAGCTGGACACCCCTGAGCTAGACCTTGGATATGTTTTCTCAGAGACAGCAATAGAGAGGACTCATAGTGAAAAGTAGCCAGTACCCCAGTCAGGAGAAATGTGAATGATTCCTCTAAACCCAGACTAAACTAATACTTACTGGGAGCGATTCTCCAGTCATAGGGTGCTGCCCGCACCGTCTTGTCTCTCACATAGCCGTTGTTCACCAAGTTTTGTACAAGGGTGTGAAAATAGCCTAAGAAGAGTAATACAACACTGAATAACACAAAGGAAATCATTTTCACATTCTTGTAACAAAAATTCCTCAATTTTGGAATTTCAGCCAGACCATTTTTATCTTAGTGTTGAATAAAGTGGGAGAGGGTTAGATCCTCTGCCAGACATTTGCTGTTGTCTTGTCAATGTCAGATGTACACGAGAAGGGGTAATTTTAATCAAATTTAGATGACAAACCACAGAATCTAGAACTGCATTTCACAGTCAAATGTGATATTTTTTCACATCGAAAAGTATTTACCAGCTAACTTGCTTTTATCCAGATATTCAACAGAAAATGTCTTTCCAAACCCCGGGATGCGAACATCAACTCCAGGTGCATTAGTAGCAGTTCTTGTTGTCTTGTTATAAACAACTCTGTGAACAGAAACATATTTATTTTCTAGAGAAGTAAAGCTGCCCACACACAGAAAAACTGGGCAGCATGATGGACAGTCCAAAGTACAAGAGATGTTGGCAAACTCAACTGAGATAGCAACCTGTGCAAGAGCCAGTGGTGCATATCATACTAAGGACAGTAGAATCTTCATACAGGTACCAATGTGGTCCTCACAGGACCCATATCTCCCCCCCTGCTTGCTCGATATCCAAGCACATAGCTAGTTCAGAAGTGTTATGGATGGATTGTTGGCAAAAGGTCTAAAATTACGATAAATATGGATTATTTTCTTTTTTTATGAGTTCATTTCAATCTAATTACAGTACTTTCCTTTTTTTTCAACAGAAATTATGTGGCAGGATGAACCATAATGGCTGCTTTCCCTGGAAACAGAGTTTTGGTATGGTCAATGTGGGCTTGGAGGAGAACCTCATGGCCATTATCAATTTGCAACTAATGAGGGAGGAAGAAATGTGTTCATTAGCCCTGGTGCAGATACATGCAACCAGGCAGAACTGAATATTCTCCATACAGTCCCTGAATTTATGACCATCCAACCCACTCTAAAGGAAAGGGAAATCCGTCTGATTATACCTGATGTTATCAACCCAGCAGTCTATTCCAAGAGGAAGAAACATGTTGAGGTTCAGCCATAAGGTGAAATAATCTTCAGTCTTGCGATAGCACATCCAATTCACAACTTCCTCTTTATCCACTTTTGCTTCTAGTTGATTTCCAAAGCAGCCAGGCACTAAAGGTAACAGACAAAGTCAAGACCATTATATATATTTGCATGCAAGAAGGATAAAAAAGAAGCTCTTCACGTTATTCCTGAGACAGCCATCTACATGAGGTGAGGTCCCCCTTAAAGGGCCTGTGGCAGGTAACCGAAATAAGATCCCAAAGATAGGAGGGTACCCGGAAACCATAGGAAGATAATATAGTGATGTAATGAGAAGTCCCTACCAGTTTCAGCTTAAATTTCAGTTAATGATTACTCGGTATCTGTACAGGTTATCTGTAGGATCAAGGCCATCTGAGGTTTAGCAATCACTGCCCAGTGTGGACAGATCAATGATTGAGTTAAACCAAAACCAAAAATTTCATATATTGCAGTTTACCTGTCCTTAGATGTGGTGGCTGCATTTGTTTTCTTTTTTCAGCCTCTATCCTTTATTTTCACCTAGTGATCCTGCCAACAACACACTTCCTGTCCAATGGTGGCAATGTTCACTCACTACACTGTATCTATTGAAGAAGTCATGGTTGTCACCCAAGCTGGACTTAAACGTGTCAGGATCTCTTCATCTCAATTACATGGGAGATGGGGAGATGTAAACATTTTTTCTTATAGGGTTTAGATACACTTTATTGTTATTGATCATTATAAGAAACAGCTGACTGGGTGAAAGGTCATCCATCAGATGTTGCTCAAAACTTTAGTAATAATTATTGAAGCAGAATTCCAGGAAAATATTTACATTGTCAAACACTAGATTTTATTCATTGGGAGTTTTTCTTTAAGTGGACAAAAGCTATCCTATTCAATAAATCATTTTTTCATATCTATCTCACTGCTGGGAACTAATAAGCATGGAGCCACGTGTTGGTTATATGTGCTGTATGTTCTATAAGCAAGTGGCCCAAGGTATGTAAGCAATGAATAACATGATGTCATATTATGGACGGGAAGAGTGAAACGGCCCCCTCTCAGCTCATCACAATGTAATAGAAATAAAGGATAGTAATAAAAATAATAAGGTAAATACTAGTACCCACAATGTTCTTCCCAACGTCCAGCACAAACATTTCTAGAACTACCATGAATGAATGAAGAAAATGGCTTACCCAGCACCACTGGAGAGCTGTTGTTACTCAAAGCCACTTTGGGGGTGATACCAGGGGGAAAGAGGACATCCAGAAGCCAAAATGCCCTAGATGGAGGCAACAGAGTAATGTACAACAGCAGAAGGATACTCCATGCCCCATAATTAGTCCTGAACCCCAGCATGGCCAGGTGACACAGCCGACAGTGAGGAGCCTTGCTGAGAGCAACAGTTCAAAATGGACTGGGCTCATAGGAGGCTAAGCCTTTTTCCTAATACAAGTTAATGATTACATTTGTTGTCCAGTTCACATTGTGACATGCTTTCACAGCACAAAACCAATTCTTATGAACCATACAAAAGGCTAAGACCAAAATGGTACATAGAACAGAAAGAAGACCTAGAGAGCTGATGTTAGGATAGGAGAAAGGCTGTTTATGGTGGCCTACAGAGCAGATGAGGATGGGGGAAAGGAGAAATGCCATCTATCATGGCCTAGAGAGGAGCTAAAGATAGGAGGACAGGAGAAAGGCCGTCCATGGTAACCTAGAAAGGAGCTAATAATGAGGGCAGTGGAAAGGCTGCCCATCATGACCTAGATAGGAGCTAAAGATAGGGGTCAGAAGAAGGGTTATCTAGAGTGGCCAATAGAGGAGTGAAGGTTGGGGGAGGGGCAAGAAAAAGGTAATCTACAGTGGCCTAGAGAAGGGCTGTGGATGAGGGTTCTGAAAAAGGCTATCGTGACCTAGAGAGGAGCTCAGGTTGGGGTGCAGGAGAATGACTTTCCATGCTGGTCCAGAGAGAAGCTGAGGATGGACGCAAGAAACATTGCTCTCCTTGGTGGTCTAGAGAGGAGCTAAGGATGGGGTCAGGAGACCTAGAGAGAAGCTAAAAATGAGGGGCAGGAGAAAGTTTGTCCATGATTACCTAGAAAGGGACTGATGAAGGGGGGCAGAGGAAAGGCTGTCCATCGTGACCTAGAGATGAGCTAAAGATGGGGGGAAGAAGGGTCATCCATGGTGGCCCTCAGAGGAGTGAAGGAGGGGGGAGGAAAAAGGCCATCCATGGTGGCCTAGAAAAAAGCTGTGGATGAGGGGCAAGAGGAAGACTTATCGAACAATAAATCAGCACCTGAAGAATTAGAAACATTTTCTAGCTGCTAGGTGATAAATTTGTACTACCCCCCCGGGTAGGTAAATCTACAGTAGATGTGAAAACTCTACACACCCCTGTTAAAATGTCAGGTTTCTTGTGATATAAAATAAATGAGACAAAGATAAATCATTTCAGAACTTTTCCACCTTTAATGTGACCTATAAACTGTACAACTCAGTTGAACAACAAACTGGAATCTTTTAGGTGGAGGGAAGTAAAAATAAAAAACATAAATAATATTGTTGCATAGGTGTGCACACCCTTAAATTAATACTTTGTTGAAGCCCCTTATGATTTCATTCCAGCATTCAGTCTTTTTGGGTATTAGTCTATCAGCATGGCACATCTTGACTTGGCAATATTTCCCCGCTCTTCCTTGCAAAAACACTCCAAATCTGTCAGATTGCGAGGGCATCTCCTGTGCACAGCCCTCTTCAGATCACCCCACAGATTTTCAATCAGATTCAGGTCTGGGCTCTGGCTGGGCCATTCCAAAGCTTTAATCTTCTGGTGAAGCCATTCCTTTGTTGATTTGCATGTACGCTTTGGGTCGTTGTCAGGCTGAAAGATGACTCTGCCCCCCATTTCCCCAGTGCAGGGTGTGGTTAGGAACAGGTAGGAACTATGACTCTGCCCCCCATTCCCCCAGTGCAGGATGTGGTTAGGAAAAAGGAGGAACTATGACTCTGCCCCCCATTACCCCACTGGAGGGTGTGGTTAGGAAAAGGGAGGAACTATGACTCTTCCCCCCAGTGCAGGGTGTGGTTTAGGAACAAGTAGGAACTATGACTCTGCCACCCATTTCCCCAGTGTAGGGTGTGGTTAGGAAAAGGGAGGAACTATGACTCTGCCCCCCAGTGCAGGGTATAAGTAGGAACAATTAGGAACTATGACTCTGCCCCCCATTCCCCCAGTATAGGGTGTGGTTAGGAAAAGGGAGGAACTATGACTCTGCCCCCAGTGCAGGGTGTGTCAGGATCAGGAAGGAACTATTACTCCACCCCCCCCCCAGTATGTGGTTAGGAACAGGCCAACTGTGATTCTATCCTCACAGTGCAGGGTGTGGTTAGGAACAGGTAGGAACTATGACTCCACCCCCACAGTGGAGGGTATGGTTAGGAAACAGGTAGGAACTATGACTCCCCCACAGTGGAGGGTATGGTTAGGAACAGGTAGGAACAATTACTCCGCCCCCACAGTGGAGGGTATGGTTAGGAACAGGTAGGAACTATGACTCCACCCCCACAGTGGAGGGTATGGTTAGGAACAGGTAGGAACAATGACTCCGCCCCCACAGTGGAGGGTATGGTTAGGAACAGGTAGGAACTATGACTCCACCCCCACAGTGGAGGGTATGGTTAGGAACAGGTAGGAACTATTACTCTGCCCCCACAGTGGAGGGTATGGTTAGGAACAGGTAGGAACTATGACTCCGCCCCCACAGTGGAGGGTATGGTTAGGAACAGGTAGGAACAATTACTCCGCCCCACTGGAGGGTATGGTTAGGAACAGGTAGGAACTATGACTCCGCCCCCACAGTGGAGGGTATGGTTAGGAACAGGTAGGAACAATTACTCCGCCCCCACAGTGGAGGGTATGGTTAGGAACAGGTAGGAACTATGACTCCACCCCCACAGTGGAGGGTATGGTTAGGAACAGGTAGGAACTATGACTCCGCCCCCACAGTGGAGGGTATGGTTAGGAACAGGTAGGAACAATTACTCCGCCCCCACAGTGGAGGGTATGGTTAGGAACAGGTAGGAACTATGACTCCACCCCACAGTGGAGGGTATGGTTAGGAACAGGTAGGAACTATTACTCCGCCCCCACAGTGGAGGGTATGGTTAGGAACAGTGGAACTATGGTGGAGGGTATGGTTAGGAACAGGTAGGAACTATTACTCTGCCCCCACAGTGGAGGGTATGGTTAGGAACAGGTAGGAACTATGACTCCGCCCCCACAGTTGAGGGTATGCCTAGGAACAGGTAGGAACTATGACTCCGCCCCCACAGTGGAGGGTATGGTTAGGAACAGGTAGGAACTATTACTCCGCCCCCACAGTGGAGGGTATGGTTAGGAACAGGTAGGAACTATGACTCCGCCCCCACAGTGGAGGGTATGGTTAGGAACAGGTAGGAACTATGACTCCGCCCCCACAGTGGAGGGTATGGTTAGGAACAGGTAGGAACTATGACTCCGCCCCCACAGTTGAGGGTGTGTTTAAGAACAGGTAGGAACTATAGGGCTGATTTACTAAAGACAAATAGGCGGTTGACTTTGCAAGGGAATTTAACCCCAGAGTTTAGTAAATGTCGTGAAATTTCACTTTGCAATGAATACCTAATTGTGCAGGGAAGAAAAAAAAAAAACACCAGATTTTTGCACATGATTGGATGGTTGAAGTCAGCAGAGCTTCACTTATTCACTAAGTTCATGGAAAATTCCATTGTAAAGTGAACTTTTTTTCTTTAGTAATTTACCCCAATGACTTCACCAGCCTTCATCCTATGCTTACTTAAGGTGGAACTGTGGGAAAAAAATGACATATATGTTGCAGTCTGTTCTCAGTGTTTTATTAGCTATTGATCCTGCCACTAGACCTGTAAATGTTCCACTTTCTGTAATCTGGGTGAATATTTCTGAATCCTATGTACAGTATAAAGATAAGGACCCGTCTCTGATCTGAAAACCTTTTCATTGGTTTAGAA